TTTCTCATCTCCTCATAGCCCTTCCTCCTCAAAGATCCCAGTGAACTCAGAAGAATTTTAAATTTCGTGACTGCCCACCCCCCCACCAAACTGCTGTGTGGCTTAAACAGCATTTAATGCAATGAAATTTAACGAAATGTGTCAGGTCAGGAGACAGAAGGGGCAGGGAGGTATGTGCCTGATCCCCACATCTTCCCCTTCAAGTCTGGTGCTTGTTTTACTCATTCATTTACTGCAGGGAAAGGACAGCTCCTCCTGCGATCCTGCATCTCAGAATTTAGGTTAAGATCAGCTGTCAAGGCCTCTGACACACTGGCTTCTGAGCTACACAGAGTAATGCGCTGGCCTGCTTCTTTCTTCACCTGCCAAGTATAGAAAATGCTACTTGCTACTTGTAAAATTCAGTATGTTAAAGATATAATTTCTTACCCCCAAACTTTTTTTTAATAAATGAAAATTCAGTGGCTCGGGCTCTGCGAGGACTTGGAGGTGGCTGACCCAAGGGTGGGATTCAACCCTGCTGCAGGCCGAGAAGAGCTGGGGCCATTTGGGGATGGCGTGGGGCCAGATCTAGCAGGGGAAAGGCTGTGCCCTTTGATGAAGCGTGTTCTGAGCCCCAAAACTCTACACTTCTGGGTGCCTCTCTTAGATTGTGGAGCCTCTAGTGACTCATTGAGTTTACACACTTGTCTCTTCTTGAGCTTCAGCCATTTCCCTCTGACACCTGGCTTAGGCAATTTGCACAGCGCCCTTTGGGTATGGAGGTGAAAAGTGAGAGTTGCTGCAGAGCCCAGCCTTGCTCCTGCACTGAGAGAAGCTGCTGGTGTAAGGGAAGAGATAGAATCTTGGCACAGGGCATGAGGGCAATGACCCAATTCCTGCCACGCTGCCCTGCATGTGCAGCCACACCACTCGGAGACTCTCCAGTTCCAAAGTCACAGGCAGAGCCTCAGAGGGGAGGGAAGCGAGGGGAGGGGAGGGATGGCATTGCACTCCATGCTTTCATCACGGCAGAACATGTCCCTCACACAGCCAGTAATGTGTCGGGAATCATTTCAAAGTTACAGAACAACTCCCAAAGAATGTGAGTGGAGGACTGGGAAGAGTCAAATAGGGAAGGGCAGGGAGTGAGAAAGGCCATCCAAGGGCATGTTTTTAACGATTTATTTATCACAGTACTCAGGTAAACCCAGGGCCTTTGGACTGAGCTACATCTCCAGCTCTTAAAAAAAATTATATTCATCTGTCTGTCTATTGTGTTTGAAGTCACCATCCTCCTGTCTCAGCCTCCCACAGTGGGATTAAGGCATGTACTGCCCCATCCAGCTAAGGGTGTATTTTTTTTTAATTTTATTGAGTTTATTGGTACATTTTAGGGATACAGTACAGTTACATTCATTGTTGGGATCATGTACCTCTACATGGCAAGTCTTGATTCTCATTTTTTCCCCTTACCTCTGCCCTCCCTTCATCCCCTCCTCCCCTCCCCATCTACACTTTATTTTCCTCTTTTCATTCTCTCACATTTTTTTCTTTTCCCTTTTTGTTCTTCCCCTACGCATCACACCTTCCCTACACCTTTAGCTCCTTTCTTCAAATTTCTAAATGTCAGTAATCTTATTAGAATCTTATGCATTGTTGCAGAATATTCACACCAGGGAAACTATTTGGTATTTACACATGTGTGACTTATTTATTTCACTTAGGAGTATATCTTCAATATGTATCCATTTTCCTATGAATGAATCTATTCTCTCGCTCTTTATGGCTGAGTAATATTCCATTTTATAGAAAAACCACAACTTCTTTATCCAGTTTCCAACGGATGGGCAAATAGGCTGTTTCCAAGATTTAGCTATTACAAACTGTGCCGCTATAAACATGGGTACACATACTTCTCTGTGATATGATTCTTTTAGTTCTTTTGGAAAGATACCCAGCAGAGGGACGGCTGGGTCAAATGGAACCTTCAGTCCAAGCTCTTTGAGGTATCTCCATATTGATTTCCATAGTGGTTGCACTAGTCTGCACCCTCACCAGCAATGGAGGAGGGTTCCTTTCTCCCCACAACCCCGCCAACATTTGTTATTGTGTGATTTCTTGATAGCAGCCATTCTTTGTGGGGTGAGGTGGAATCTCAGTGTTGTTTTCATCTGCATCTCTCGAATGACCAGTGATGTGGAACATTTTTTCATATATTTTCTTGCTGCTTTTACTTCTTTGTATGAGAAATGTCTGTTCATTTCGGATGCCCATTTTTGGATCGGGTCTTTATATTTGGGGGGACTGATTGTTTTGAGTTCTTTATATATCCTTGATAATAGTCCTTTGTCTGAGGTACAGCTGGTAAAAATTTTTTCCCACATTGTAGATTGTCTCTTAGTTCTGCTAATGGTTTCTTTTGAAGTACAGAAGCTTTTTAGTAAGATGAGATCCCAGTTGTTGATTCTTTCTGCTAGTTCCCGTGCTACTGAGGATTTGTTCATAAAGTCTTTTCCTATACCAATGTCTTCCAGAGTTCTGCCTAACTTACTTTCCAGCAAGTTTAATGTTTCTGTTTTAATATTTAGATCTTTAATCCATTTGGATTTTAATTTAGTGCATGGCGAAAGATAAGGGTCTAATTTTAATCTGTGACAGGTTGATATCCAGTTTTTCCAACACCATTTATTAAAGAGGCTATCTTTCCTCCACTGAGGATGGTGAGCTCCTTTGTCGAAGATGAGGTAGCTGAGTACATCTGCATTTGTTTTTGTGTCTTCCAGTCTGTTCCATTGATCCTCAGGCCTATTTCTTTGCCAGTACCATGCTGATTTTATCACAGTGGCTTTGTAGTATAGTTTCAAATTGGGAATTGTTACACCTGGTGCCATGTGACTGTTGCCTATAATGGCTTTTGCTATTCTAGGTCTCTTGTGGTTCCAAATGAATTTTTGGATTCTTTTTTCTAGTTCTGTGAAATATAGTGTTGGAATTTCAATTGGCATTGCATTGAATGTATATAGCAGTTTCGGTAGTATGGCCATTTTCACTATGTTGATTCTTCCTACCCAGGAGCAGGGGATATCTTTCCATTTTTTTATATCCTCTTCGATTTCTTTTTTCAGAGTGCTGTAGTTTTCAGTGTAGAGATCTTTTGTTTCTTTTGTTAGATTGATTCCTAGATACTTCATTTTTTTGGATGCTATTGTAAAAGGAATTTTTTCCCTTATTTCTCTTTCTGTCTGTCTGTTATTTGTGTATAGAAAGGCTATTGATTTTTGGGTATTCACCTTGTATCCAGATACTTTACTGAATCTGTCAATTAAGTCTAGAAGTTTTTTGGTGGAGTTTTTTGGATCTTCAATGTAGAGTATCATATCATCAGCAAATAATGATAGTTTAACTTCTTCCTTTCCTATCTTTATTGCTTTAATTTCTTTCTCTTGTCTAATTGCTGTGGCTAATGTTTCCAGAACTATATTGAAGAGAAGTGGTGATAGTGGGCATCCTTGTCTTGTTCCTGATTTTAACATGAAGGTTTTCAGTTTTTGGCCATTCAATATGATGTTGGCTGATGGTTTTTCATAAATAGCCTTTATTAAATTGAGCTATAGACCATCTATTCCAATTTTTTGCAGGGTTTTTATCATGAATGGGTGTTGAATTTTATCAAATGCTTTTTCTGCATCTATTGAGAGGATCATATGGTTTTTGTCCTTGACTTTGTTAATATAATTTATTACATTTACTGACTTTCGTATGTTGAACCACCTAAGGGTGTATTTTTGAGTTGAGGAAGTTGGTGACTGCCCTGGGCCTCTGCGCACTGTCATTTAAAAAAGTGTGTGGGATGTAACTCAGAACTGTGGTGAGGGGACTGGAAGGGTGTATGCCACTGGCCAGAGGTGGCTCCAGGAGGGGTAGCTCCTTTGTGTTCCGAGGTTGGCTCCTGTGTCAGGACAGCAGTGAGTTGTTTCAGGGGTCCCAGGTTGTGATGGCAGAGAAGCCCTGGGGCAGGGAGAGACAGCTACAGCAGAGGCAGAGGGCTCTCTGGTTACACCAGTGTCCAGCTGGTTACAGCAGCAAAGCAGCAGAATGATGTGAGCCCAGCCACTGCAGGTGTCGGATACAACCCCCGTCGGGTCAGCTGTCCTTCTTTCGTCTTCCACAAAGGGAAAAAAATTACCACTTGAGCCCAAAGTTAGATTCTATGGTTTTCCTAGGTGGAAAGATGAAAATGACTTTTTCAGCCACGCATATCTTCACAGCGCCACCTTGAAGTGGTTCAGTACAGCGATGTATTATGCTGGATGAGGCAGGATGTACTGAATGCTCTGAAATGCCATCCCTGAGGCAAGGGCCCTGGCTTGAGCCTGTGAAGTCAGTGCAGGGAACCCAGTGCATCCTCGGTCACGCTTCTGTCAGTCTTTAAGCCTCCGTATGTCAGGAGCTGGGCACGAAGAAGGCACGATCTCGGCCCTCAAACAGCTCCTGGGACAGACACGAAGGTTTCTTTAAAGCCACCCCCTGTCCCTGCTGTTCCTTCTTTCCTGTTTTCATCTGGCTGATCCCTTTCTATTCCATCCTTTTCTAATTTACCTAAAAGCAGCCCTGTCACCATTTGCCCTGATTATTTTCTCTCTTCAGTCTCTTTCCTGGAAGCTGCTGTCTAGGGTAGTAGGGCAGGGGGGAGAATTTCATCCCTGGCTGATTACCCTCCAAAGTTCTATTGTTGATATCGTGGGAAGCTATATTAGTTTTAAATTATTGCAAAAGACCCATAGAAGCAAAATCTTCAAATAAATTTCTTAAAATAATTTTAAAATCAAGCAGCCGAACCCGATGTGTTGAAAGATAGCAAACACATAAAGGGGTCTGGGGTAGCCTCGTCGTCGCTAGAGTTTCCTCACTTTCTGGAATGGCACCTTTTCGGTACCTGCAGCCCGGGGCAAGGAGAAACCTCCCTGCCCCCCACCCCCGGCCCAGTCCGGGTACCGGAAGAAGGTGGTGGCTCTGCCTTCGGTTTAGGGCCCGGATGATGGGCGGGAATGGGTTAACCTGTGGGTCGGGGACCTAAGGACTCGGGGCCTCCAGCGGGGACTGTGCCAGTCTCAGCGCCCTTGAGCCGAGGAGGCGGCGCGGGAGACTCTCCGCCCCCACGTCTCGCCGTCGGGCCCCGCCCGGCGCAGCCCAACGCAAGCACCCAAGTGTGTGGGCGCATCCCGGTGCCAGGGACAGAGGACGCCAGAGAAGGTAGGTTGAAGCGCTTCACTGGGAGCGACGGCGCCCCCTCTGGGTCCTCCGAGGGAAGAGCGGGATCAGCGGGGCGCCGGGACAGGGGACAGGCGGGCGCTCTGGCCTCGCCTGCGGGCGTGGGTAAGAGAGGGGTCTTCATCTCTCCCGAGCGGCGGGACGCGACCTGCGCTTGTCTGGTTTGGCCTGGCGTGGCCCCTGAACCCGGCCCCCGGGGTGCAGGAGGGGTCAGGGGGCATCGTGGCCTACAGGCAGATGAAAGGCCCGAGGAAGGCGAGCTCGCGTCAGCCCCAGGTGGTTCTCATCCGCCACCCTCGCGTCTCCACCTTGCTGGCTCCCCTGTGCACCGCGGGCGCAGAGTCGGGTGGGGGTGCTCAGGACCAGGCCCGGGTTTGAACACGCAGCCCCCGGGTGGAGCCCTCGGAACTCATCGCCCACTGCGGCGCCTGTTGCAGGAGGGAATTGCCGGCCTCAGGAAGCCGGGGGCGGTGGGGGGAGGACTTCCAAGGTCACATCGTAGTTCAAGACCGAGGCAGGTAGTCCTGCCTTCCAGCCTTGGGCTCCAGGCCCTGCTTCCTGGCGGTCTGTCTCCCAGATTCCGCCTGTGTCACTCCATTCCTCCCGCACCCTCCGCAGGGCTCTAACGGCTAGGTGCAGGCGCTGCAGGGTTGCTGGGTAGTGGTGGGCCCTTCTGGCAGCCTGTGGCCAGCCTGGGCGAGGACAGTGGGGCTTTGTCTAGGCGGTGTCGCTTCTAACCAATGAGAGCGTGGCTATGGCCGAGCCCCCGAGGCATCGGCCTTCCTATTGGCTGGAAAGTCACCCCCCCCGCACTGGGATTGGCTGCGCAGCCCACTGGCCAAGCACTGCGCGGCGCCGAGCTAGGCGTTGCCTACGCTTCCCGGAGTGGAGCGCGCAGAGGATGTGTGGGTCAGACGCCCGGATGGGGCTCTGTGCCCGCTCGTGCCTTGCGGCTAGCTGCCTGCAAGGGCTGCGCCCTGCTTGTGGGGGTGGGGGAGCGGGTACGGAAACCTGCACGTGTCTTTCCAGCCAGTCGGCCAAAGCTGCCCGTAGAGAGCCGGCGCCGAGTCACCGTCTAGCCCTGCTGTTCCGCCTCCGGGGTTGTCAGAAGCACAAGTGTCACCCAAGGCCTTCGCGATTCCCCACGTGGGTCCTGACCGTGAGAGGTGTGCGCAGCCCGCTTGGGCACTGGTGGTTGGTTGGGGACATGTGAACAGGTATAACCTGTGATGCACCTAACAAGGTGAGCGTGGTTACAGAAGCTCAGCAGGAAGGAGTTAGGAGTTAACTTTTATTTAGGCGAGGAGGAATGGCAAGCTGGAGAAGGTGTTACTTGTACCAGTTAGATTTTGATCACATGACAATAATGGATTTGGTATCCAACGAGCAAGGCACCGAAACCAGGAAACACAGGGCTAGTTGAGGGACGGTGTAACAAGGGCTTAATATGAGTACATGAGAAAAGTGTAATTGGAGATGAGGTTTGGAGGGGAGGACTTGGGTACTGTTTGAAATGTGGTAAGCACCTATGAATAGAAAGGCTCCTTAACCCACTGGTTGGACTAATGTCACCCAGTGTTGATTGGATGTTGGAGATATTTTTGATTCTTCTTTCACATCCCCACATTGATTTTGTCATTAAGTGGAGTGGGCTCTACCTTTGAAATAAAGCCACATTTGGCCAATTTAAATTACCTTTATGGTTTCATTTGGCCAGTCAGCCTTTTTAATCCGTGTCTGGGAAGTACTTTTGACATTTCAGTGGAGTTGTGCTGTGCTCAGTGGTGCGTGGCTGCACACTGTGGCCCTCCATTACTGCAGTAACTTCTAACTTCTCCCTGCTTGTGCTCATTTGTCCTCAGTTTATTAACTCTGAGTTATTTGTTAAAAATGTCAGTCTGATGAGGACAATCCTCTGCTGAAAGTTCCTCTAATTCATTCAAATAGTGTGTGCCTGCTATGTGTAGGTTACTCTTATAGGTGTTGGAGATGCAATAGTGAGAAAAACTGACAAAAGTCCCCTTTCTCAAATAGCTTACGTTCTAATGGGACTGAAATATGACCAATAAGATAAATCCCAGCACTCTGGGAAGCTGAGGCAGGAGGATAGCAAGTTTGAGCCCAGCCTGGGCAATGTAGCAAGATCGTATCTCACAATAAAATGTAAAACGGGGAGGGGGACATAACTCAGTGTGAAGGCCCTGCGTTTGACCCCCAGTACTGGAAAAAAAGTATATGTAGAATGTTACCATGTGCTATCTGCTAAGAAGGAAAACCAAAAATGGAAGGAAGGAAGGAAGGAGGAGATGGAAGTGGGACTCACGGGGGGGCCGGGACATAGCTTCTCAGTAAGCATTTGCATAAAGGACTAAAGTGAGAGAATGAACCCAGAGGATACTGGGGGAAGAGTGCTTGGTTAGGGGCCAGTGCAGGCAGAGGCTCTGAAGCAGGAGCTTGCTGGGAATGCACAGCAAGAGAGAAGGCCACTGTGTCCGAGATGAGGGGACCAAGGAGGGGATGAGGTCAGAAAGATACTGGGGCCCTGACCCCCAGATGGGGGGCCTTGTCGACAAACCTGCACAGGTTCCGTTTCTCCCCCTGACAAGGGTTTGGTGCAGGAGTGACACAGTGCAGTGTGGGCTTGTGACTGTCTCACACAGGCTGTGTCTCATAGTCTGAAGGGCGGTTTCGGAGGAGGCAGGGAGTATAGTTGGGAGGCTGTTGAAACAACCCAGGCAAGAGGAGATGAAGGCTTAGATTACAGGGGTAGCAGAACGTCTGAGGGACATTGTGAAGATGCAATCAGTGGGACTTGCTGATAGCTGGGCTTGGAAAATGAAAGCAAGAGAGAGGTCAACAGCAAGGAGGATTTAGAGGAACAGGTTTTCAGGGCAATCGCACAAGGTCATTTTGGACAGGTTAGATTGGAGATACCTCTTTAACCTCCAGGGGAACAGTTGTATACCCAAACCTGGAGTTTAGGGGAGAAGACTGCTGGAGATGAACATTTGGGAGGTGGCAGCATTTAAACCATATTTAAAGCTGTGAGAGCTCACAAGGGTGGTGGGAACAGAACGGGAACGGAGAGCCCAAAGCACCATCATTGCATGGCCTAATGGACTTCAGCAAGCCCAGGACTCCTAGGGATGTCTACTCCATCTGGCTGTTGTAACCACGGCAATCTTGACCACGGTGACACTTTCTGTTGGGGAGGGACAGATAAGAAATGGGGGGGAAAGCATATGTCCTCTTGTTACTACAAGGTGTACAGTGAGGCCTTCTCAGAATATGGGACAAGGTTAAGAATAATAACGTTCAATAGGAAGCACCTACCTTTGGCGTGTGTCAGCCAGCATTGTTTTAGCACCAAATGACAGAAACGTCAAGCTTGCTTAAACAGTACAGATAGTAAGCACAGCGTGCCTCAGAGCTGGAGGACCAGAGAGTGGCCAATTACTCTTTATTCTCTTTCCTCCTCCATCTCTTTCTGCTTGGCTCTGTTTTTCTTCATTTCTGCCAGTTCCTGGCCCCCATGTGGTGTAGCTGCCCCGCCCCAGCAGCCAGACCACACATCTCACGTCACAGAGGTGACTGGCACTCTTTTTCAGTGCTGTGAACAGAGAGACTGATGCTCCCATAAAATCCTTTTGGACTTTTCTTCTCTGATGATGATCTCTCTAAGGATTAACAGTGCAGTTGGCATGCAGAGCTAAGCTGGGCTGGAACATCTAAGCCAGATGGACCTAAGAAGGGAAACATCCAAAGGGTAACACATCTGTGTGGTTTGGGATCTCAGAAATTAGTGCTTTTAGTGCTCAGGCACTAGCAAAGGCAATGTGGGTAGTTTTAAGATAGAGGCACAAACTGTTTATATTGAGTTCAAGCAAAGCTTAGCTGCCTCGTTATATTGTCTTTTAAAGCACTAGCTTGAGCTGGCAGTGGTGGCACACACTGAATCCCAGCACTCTGGGAGGCTGAGGCAGAGGATGGCAAGTCTGAGTCCAGCTCGGACAACTCACTGAGCCCGTCTTCAAAAGTAAAATAAAAAAGTGCTGGGATGTGGCTCAGTGTGGAGGATCTGGGTTTAGTCCCCAGTACCACAAAATAAACAAACAAGCAAACTAATTAAAACAAAACAAGTAAGGGCTAGGGATTTAACTCAGTGGTTCTGCTGCCTGCCTCACAAGCACAAGGACCGATCCCCAGTACCAAAAAAAAAGTAAAGCAAAATAGGGTGGGGGTACAGCTCAGTGGTAGGGTATGTTTAGCATGCACAAGGCCCTGGACTCCATCCCCAGCATGCGCGCGCACACACACACACACACACACACACACACACTAAATAAATAAATAAAACACTAGACTGAAGTAAATAATAAAAACGAAAATACTGAAGCTATACCTTGACCAAACCAGTTACAGAAAATATATTGGAGGCAGGCTGCCAGCTGAGAGACTGTTGTTGTTGTTGTTGTTGTTGTGTATGTATGTGTGTGTGTGTGTGTGTGTGTGTGTGTGTGTGTATGTGTGTGTCTTAGAGGAGTCTCACTATTAGTTCAGGCTGGCCTCGAACTTGCGGCAATGCCCCTGCCTCAGCTTCCTGAATGCTGGGATGACAGGTTGTGTGCTACCATGCCTGGCTCAGCTGAGAGACTTTAGAACCAGAAGCTCAGTGTCTCAAGCCCTTCTTTGCACAGAACATTTCCCTACCTAAACCCAAGGCCTTCCGCTCCTGCTTGGTAGAGCCAAGGGCCCATCTAGATTTTCTGCCCAACAACACATGTGATCTCCTTCCTGCCTGAGTCCTGCTCCAGGGTTCCTGCTCCCAGCAGGCTCCTTACCTTGCCTGAGAGCACAGTACTGAGCATGCCCCCTTATAGGGGAGACCCCAGTGCTGACCCTCGGGAGAGCTGTGTCCTCTGCGATAGTCCTGTCACAGTGCAATATGGCAGCAGGACAAGGCGCACGCATTCTTCTCTGAGATCAGGTTTTAGTGCAGTAGCAAGGCCTCAGGTTGCCACCCTGCAGAGGCTGATTTACATTCTTTCCTGCAAGGGGGCAGAATGATGGGTTCATCTGGGATTTTCCATGGGTCATGCACTGACCTTGGAGAAGGGATGGCCTTGAGAGGAGACTCAGCTGCTCCTCACATTAGAAAAGTTGCTCCTACAGGACCGGTCGAAATGTGAGCATCTTTATTTTGTGATGGTATCTTATGAATTTGTTCTCCTGGAGTCATACTCCCATGCCCAGCTACCCTAGGACAGCAACTGCCTTGACTTTCCCAGCCGCTGAGAATGTCCCTGGCCCGGTGAGCTCCTCCACCTTTCTCCTTGCACCACTGTCTCCACACCCATTTCTGGTCCCTAACCAAAAGGCAAGTGAGTAGCTTTTCAAGTTTGATTCCTTCCTATTTAGAGAATAGAGCCCAGCATCAGGCATTAAGATGGGAAACAACTGTGCAGAGTCCTTGGTAGTATTTCGTTCGGAGTACGAAATTTCTTTTGGAGTGAAAACAGCAATATGTTCCAGAGACTTAAAAAACAAGAGGAAGTTGAAGGTGTAGCTCAGTGGTAGGGTAGGTGCTCAGCAACCTTGAGGCCCTGGGTTCATCCCTAGCACCAAAGTGAATAAAGAAAAAACAGCTAAACTCCTACTGTTCTGCATACTAGAGACTACATTGTAAACAGTGCATTATTCAAGGGACTGAGCCTTAAACTGTTCTGACTCTGGCACTTGCAGGAAAAGCTGACTCTAAGGAAAACGAAACTGAAGCAGCGGTCTATTTGGAGATTATATTGAAGCATTTTCCGGCCATAGACTTTGAGCCAAAGGGATGGAAAGGACTTTAATCAGAGACAGCTGCATTTGAAGGCACCCGGTGGTGGTAACTGCAGACTCTGGTCCTGGCGGGAGGAGGTAGAGATGAGGGTACAGCTCTCAGGGAAAGATGGGAGCCAACCCGGGCCTGGACCTCGGCTTCCCGTAAGTCTCATGGGGAGCTACTTTAGAAATGGAGGCATCTCAGTCTGTTTGTTGCTTAACAGAATATCTGAGATCAGATGACATAAAATAAAGAGGTTTATTTTTGCTCATGGCTTGAAGGACTGGGAATCCAAGGCACAGCACTCAGCATTTACTTAACTTCTGGTAAGGGTCTTGTGCTGCTTTATAGCATGGCAGAAAACTCTGCAAGGCAAGCAGGCGAAATAGGAGGGTGGGTGTCCTGTGTAATCCCCGTCTTGGCCCATGAGATTCACTGGAGAAAGGCATTGCTCCCTCTTAACTTAATCATCTTCCCAAGGCCTCACTTCCCAACACTACCACCATGGCTGCCACATTGCAACATGACTTTTGGAGGGAACAACGTGCTCAAACCAGGAGAGGGGCGCAGAGTTGGTCACACTGAGGCCTGCAGGATCAAAAGTCCCAGCTGCTTGGAGCATGTGCAGGAGGGTGCTGGCAGACACGGGACACTTTTGGCGGGGTCTGTTCAGCCACAGTACAGCGAACAGAGGGAGGGTGGCTGGATGAGGTTAGAGGAGGAGGGAGAGGCCAGCACCCCTGGGAATGGAAAGGAGGCTTGAAGCAAGGGAGTTGCATGGCTCACCTGGGGCTGGAATGACCTTTCTGGCTGTAGTGCTTAGAGCCAAGTGTGCAAGTGGGGCCGAGAGTCCAGGAGAGAGTCCTCTGTGTAGTTCAGGAAAGAACATGAGCCAGAGACCCCTGTGCGTTTCCCTGCCTGAGATGAAACAGATTCAACATCTCCTGCAGTGAACACGGGTGGAGTGGGATACTTAACTAACTTCTTACTCACTGTTGCGATTGGAGCTTCCCTCCCCCTGTGTTGAAGTTTTATCTGGCACAATATCCAGTCTGTTACCCAGGTACCCTGCACGCCCCTGGGACTCTGAAAACGAGAATGTGATCGGCAAGCACGGGCCTTCAACCTTGTCAGAAGCTTGAGCCAAAATAAACCTCTTTTCTTTAAAGTTACCCAGTTTCAGATGTCTCATTATAGTAATGGAAAATGGACTAATTTACAGACCTGTTGGCCTCAGCTGCCCATTGGTTAGATTTGGGTTGGGAGGAGCAGCTTCCCAGGCTGATAAGAAGAGTGTGACAAAGTACGGCCAGGTATGCAGAGGAGAGGCCAGAAGCCATTGGCCAGGAAAAGGACAACAGCTCCTTCAGGGTCTAGTTACCTCATTAACCCCCTTCCCAGTCTCCTCTTCCCTTTGGCCAGGAGGAATCAGTGGTAAGCAGAGCAGGAAGACTGCTACTGTGCATGGAGATGGGTATTAATGATGCATAATTAGTCACCATGGTAAGTAGCCTTAAGGTGACACTTGTTGGAATATGTTGACTTCACTTTGCGTGGGGAGACAGTGGGGAGACTGTTTACGTGTGTTTTAAAGTTTCATTTGGTAGCTTCTGACTGACTGCCATCACAAGTTCCAGGTGAATTTACCACCAGTGCCAGCTCCCACGTTGCTGGGGTCTGAACAGAGTGGGAGGTGGAGCCAGATGCCGTGTTGAGAGGCCTTGAGAGCTGCCCGAGAGGCTTATGGGCACATGGGGCATGAAGGCCGATGCCCTGGTTGCCACAGATGTGTGTTTACTAGGAACAAAGATGATTAGAGCACGTGGTGAAGGTTTACAGTGAAAGAGACATTACCATGAGCAATCCTCAAAATCCTTCCCCTCACTTGGAACACATGCATCCCATTGTGCTTACTACTTTCTGAAGCGGTTCTGGAAGTTCTCTTTCTTACTTTATGAGTTGTGATTTTAAAAATATGGTGAATGCTGCCGAACCCGAGTGCCATCCAATAGAAAGGCAGGCTTATAAAAAACATGACACTGTGTTCTCATCAAACTTATCCACTGGGCCTGGCATCGTGTGATTTCCTGCTCTTCCCCAAAGTCAAAATGACGATGAAAGGTCAATGTTTGAATGGATTTAGGCGATTGAGGCATCCATGAGAGCGCAACTAAAGACACTCAGGGAAGAGGAGCTCCAGAGCTGCTTCAGAAAGTGGCAAGAACATGGGATAAGTATATTTGAAGCAAGGGTTAGGGTTTTGAGAGGGATTCATGGCAATGTGTCTTTTTCTGTAAGATACTATTTAAATTTAAGTATTCATATTGTTAAATCATACCTCATGGACAGAAGGATGTTGGGGACTGTGGACAGAAGAATAGGTCTCAGTCAGCCTGAGTCCCTAAGGGGTTTAGCGCCTCATGTGCCCAGAGGCTGCTGCACAGCCTGGTTTGAGAACCACTGGCCTAGGCCACCTCACACTAAAAATGGGGTGACTTGTGTATTACAAATGGTGACTCCTCCTAGATGCCCAGTGAGTTGAGGACACAGCCAGAGCCAGAACAGGTTTCTAGGCCCCTTGGCTCCTAACTTCCCATGGCTTTAGGTCAGAGCTCCAGAGAGATGCAGAAGGCTCTGCCTAAGTCCCAGGATTGGGGCTGGGTCAGTTAGACCCAGCTGTTTGACTTTGGAAGAAAACTGGGCACTCCTGGTCAGCACCTGGCTGCATCAACAGTGCACTGAGGATGCATTTATGTTTCAGACCCCCAGAAGGAAGCGGACCATCTGCCACTTGCCATGATGCTGGCTGCCCGCCTCTCCAGACCCCTGTCACAACTCCCAGGAAGAACCCTAAGTATCTGTGACAGAGAAAATGGAACAAGGTAAGCGGCAAAGGGTAGAGGGGCTCTTGAGCATCACACTTTCCACAGCTGGGTGACACCAGGCAGGGGTCATGGGTCCCGACTCTCCGAATTGTCACAGTACCTGGTAGCTCTGACAAAGGAAGCTGGAAGTGACCTCAGAAGACACCTTCCGGGGTGAAGAGGAATAACTTTCATAACTGCTTTCTCAAACCCTTTTTGTTTTGAAATCACTTTAGACTTATACAAAAAGTCACAAAAATGGTACAGTGGGTTCCAGGAGGAACTTAACTTCCCCAGTTGTTCTCATCTTATGAAACCACAGTGCAATGACCAAAATCAGGAAATCCTCATTGCTATAATACTATTAGCCAAGCCACAGACCTTATTCAGATTTCACTGATGGACCTTTTTCTGGTCCTGGTTTCTTATCCAGGATCCCACATTGCATTTAGTTGTCCCTGCCTCCTTCCTTCCTTCCTTCCTTACCTCTATTCCTCCTTCCCTTGCTTCTAGAGATTGAATCTAGGACCTCTGCACTGAACTACATCCCCAGCCCTTCTGACTGTTTTCTTTTCTTTTTTTTTGACGGGGTCTTACTATGTAGTCCAGCCTGGGTGTGAACTCATTCTGTAGCCCAAGCTGGCCTCAAACTCAAGAACTACCTTTTTCTTTCTGCTATATTTTAGGGGAGCAAAATTGAGTGTCAGGTTAAGGAGTTAGGAAATTGATATTTTCTATGCCAACAAATATCTTTACCAGAGTATGTGTTCAGGCTTCTTTTTGTTTTTGGTTGGTTGTTTGTTTTTTGAGACAGGGTATCACAGTGAAGTTCAGGCTGACATTGAATTTATCATGTTGCCCATTCTGGCCTCGAACTCCTGGCAAATCCTCCTGTCTTGTGCTTTTAAGTGTATTTACGCTCTCAGCTGCATTTGCATGGGATTCAGAGCAGAGGCTCAGCTCAGCAATGGGCTTCAATTACCAGAGGTCACCGTGTAAGGGAGCCTGCAGCAGAGGCAGCCGGGGCCACCATTCCGAGAAGGGACAGCCTGACTCTGTTGAAGGGCTTTAGAAACAAGGTGAGTTTCTGCATTAAAAAAAACCCACATATTTATTTGCTTTTCATTAGTCTGACTCCTAAAGGGGCACAGCCTCACACAGATTCTGTATTCAAAGGCCTTAGCAGGAAGGCCGCTTTGCCATTTGACCCCAACCATGCCACTGTGTCTATGGGTATAACCTTCCTCCAGATGACTCCAGTTTGGTTTTTTTGCCACCAGGAGTCACCCTGGATTTTGTACCATCTGTGAGCCTGGCAAAGCTCTCAGTGGTTGCCCATGAGCTCCCTTGGTGCTTGTTAACTGAGGCCCTGAGACCAGAGACCAAAGGTCCTTCCCAGTGAGAGACCGTTCCAAGCTGAGGATTCCTAAGACAGCAGGAGCTCAACAGGACCAAGAGCAGAGAGGGAGATCAGGACAAGCACTGCCAGCAGTGCCCACCAAGCACCATGGTGCCAGCCAGAGCTGCCTAGCACTTCCAGGGCCAACTGCCCACCTTGGCAAGGTTCTGACTCAGCGTGGGGTGGAGGAGTAGAGCCCTGTGCTCCCCAGAGAAGTGGAGATGCGGCCAGTGGGAAGAGTGAATCTGATGGGGTGCTGTGATTCACATCTGTCATTCCAGGTACTTGGGAGGCTGAGGCAGGAGGATTGCAAGTTCAAGGCCAGCCTGGGCAATTTAGCAAGACTGTGTCACAAAATAAAATGTAAGAGGCTAGGGATGTAGCTCAGAGGGGGAGTGCTTGCTTAGCATAAAGCCGTGGGTTCAATCTACAGTACTGCAAACAAGGAAAGAAAAGAGCAGAAAGGAAAGGAGGGAGCAAGGAAGGAAACTGACCAAAATCTCTCATGAAGAAAGATGCAAAAACCTTCAAAATATTAACAAATAGAATTCAGCCAGATTTAAGAACTATAAGAACAAGTGTGTTTGTTCTAGGAATGGAGGAATCGTTCATTATTTGAAAATTAATGTCATCTGCTAAATTCATAGACTAAAGAAGAAAAATTGCACGATTCTATCAATGCAGAAAAAAATAAAATTTAACAATCGCTTATGATTGAAAAAAAAACTCAGAAAAAGTGACACAGAAGGGAACTTTCTCAACTAAATGATTAACATTTACAACAGACCTATGACAAACATCATCCCCAACTGAGACCTAAACGCTTTGCCCCTGAGATAGTCTTGTAAGAGGCAGCCCAGCAGTAAGGCAGGGAAAAAAAAAAAAGAAAGTCAAACAGCTCAGAAAACAAGAACTAAAACTGTCTACAGACAAAATCCCGAGGAATATACAATTCCCAAAATGAATAAATGAGCTTAGCAAGGTCACAGGAGTCAAGGTAACACAAAAATGCATTGTATTCCCATGTACTAACCAAGAACATGTGGATATAAAATTTAAAAACAATCCTGTTTGTAACTATTCAAAAGACAAAAGCAAACAAACAGGGGATGTGGGCTGAGGGTGTAGCTTAATGAAAGAGGACGTGCCTAGCATGTGTGGGGCCCTGGGTTTGGTCCCCTGAATCGGAGAGAGAGGGAGGGAAGGAGGGAGAGATGGGATGGGAGGGTAGAGAGAGAGAGAGGCAGAGAGAGAGGCACTTAGGTACATAAAAAAAGAGAAAACATGTCCAGCATCTGTCTGCTGAAAATTACACAACACTGATGAAAGAAAGAAAACAAAACTCTAAATGAATGGAGATCTATACTATGTTCAGGGATTGTCCGTTTCCTCCAAACTGAATTTATGGGTTTAGCACAATTTCTATTAAAGTATCAGTCAGGTTTTGTAGATGAAGACAAGATTATTCTAAAGTGTATGTGGAAAGACAAGGGGGGTAGAAAAGGTCAAACAATTATTTTATAAGGAAAATAAGGTAGGAGCCCAAGATCAGTGCGGCAGAAGAGCAAATCTGGAAACAGCAGCACAGCAGTGCCTGGCTGATTTTTGACAGAAGTGCAGACGTGATTCAATAGATACAAAGGAGCATTTTCAAACAAGTGCCGGGGCAATTGGAAATTCATAGGCAGAAAATCCCCTTCTGACCCAAGTCTCATATATAAAAGTTAACTCTAAATGGGTCATGGATTTCAAATGTGAAACACAAATGTATAAAGCTTTTAGAAAACAAACCAATAAACATCGAGCTAGGCATTGTGGCACACAACTGCTATTGCTGTACTCTGGGAGGCTGAGGCAGGAGGATTATAAATTCAGGCCCAGCCTGGGCAACTTAGTGACTTAGTGAGATTCTGTCACAAAATTAAAAATAAAAACAGTCCAGGGATGTGGCTCAGTGCAAAGGCTCTGTAGTTAGGCAAAAGGTTCTACATAAAAAGAAAAGAAATGAAATAGTTTTATCCTGCAGCAGACCCTGGTAAGAAGAGAAAAAAAAAGTAAGTTACAGATTAGGAGGAAAGATTTGTACGGCACATATGAGCTAAAGCACGAGTATCTAGAGCATTTCAATAAGGAAGGAACAGTCCACTGAGAATGTGGGCCGAGGCATCTTACTGAAGAGGTCTTACTTGTGGTGCTGAGGCCTGAGTGCTTGTCCTACCCAAATCCATAGGTAGAGGAGTTGACACGAGGACATGGAGCCCCTGCAGATGAGATCAGTGCCATTGTGAAAGAGATCGAGGACGCCCCTCTCCCCTTCTGCATCAGAAAGTCCTGGTGAACAGATATCGTCCTGTGACAGAAGGGGCCCCCACCAGAAAGTCTTCTGACCTCTTGATCTCAGGCACTTCGCATCCTCCAGAACTGAAGAAATAAACATCCACTATTTATAAACTCTGTCTGTAAGCCACCCATACTATAGTATTTCGTTTTTCGCAGCTCGTACTGAAAACACATGCCAGGATGTTCAGCATCATCAGCCATTAGAGAAATGCAAATCAGAATCACAGTGAAACAATCAATACCCAGTTTTCAGCATGGCGAAAATAAAAAATAGCTATACCATCAAATACTGGTGAAGATGCAGACAAACTGGGTCACTCAGACATTTCTGTTGGGGGTGTGGTATGCTACAGCCACTCTTGTAGTTGTAAACGGTTTGGCAGTTTTTAAAAAACCAAACATGAAACTGCCATATGACCCAAGAATTCTACTCCTGGGCCTTTATCCAAGAGAAATAAAAATCGGTTTTGCACTAAAACCTGGATAGGGGTGTTCACAGCAGCTTTCTTCATAGCAGCTCCAAACTGGAAACAGCCCAGATGTCCTTCAATAGGTAAATAATTAAACAAACACCCACACTATAGAAAACTACTCAGCAATAAAAAGGAACACACTCGATGTATACGACAATCTGGAAGAATCTCTAGAGAAGGATGTTGAATGGAAAAAAGCCAAAGCCCAAAGGTTACCTCCTGCATGATTCTGTTAGTATAACATTCCTGAAACGACTCAGTTACACAGATTAGTGCTTAAGGAGGGTGGGCTGGGAGGAGTAGGTGTGGCTATAAGAGGGTACTAGGAAGGTTGCTAGTGGCGATGGAAGATATCTTCATCACTTTTCTCATTGCTAGGACACAATACCCAACACCTGCAATGAAAAGGAGGAGAGGTGTCTTTAGGATCATGTTTTCAGTCCACAGTTGGCAGGCTCCAAGGCAGGAGGGCAGAGTAGAAGAAGAGCTGCTTACTGATGGTGATCCGGAAGCAGCGAGAGAAGGGAGGAAGGTGGGGGTAGATCTCCCTTCTAGGCCACGCCCCCTAGGGACCAACCTTGCTCTAATAGGCTCCGCCTCCCAATAGCAAGTCAGCTATGGTGTCCCCATGGTTCAATCCTCTTCTAAAAGCCCCACCTATGAGCACATCAGGCTCCTGGGGGACGTCTGGATAGAAACTGTAACAGAAGCATTATGTATTTTTACTGTATCAGTGTCAGTATCCTAGCAGTGCAGCAATTTTGGAAGATGATGTCATTAGGGGAAATTGGGTAAAAGGTTCCTGACAGCTCCCTGTATTATTTCTTCACTGCATGTGAATCTATAATTATTTCAAAATAAAAAGTTTAATTAAAATAACCACTAGGAAGCAGCATTAAACCTATGGGGGTTAAGACACTGGCTTCGCAGGAAGCTCTCACTGAGCCTTATCACTGAAAGGAGAGCCCATACTTTAGCTAGGCTGAAGTGTCACCTACCTGTGTCACCTCGGAAGGCAGAAAATGGGACTTTATTGGAGCCACACAGTCTCGTCGTGTTTTGGCAGGGCCTCCCGGCAAAAGTAGCTTCTGGGTTGGCTTTTTCCCAGGAGGGCTCTTCCTGGATGGTAGCTACATGGGCTTCTGCAAAGGCTGGCTCCCTGGCTACCTGCCTGGTGGAAAGATGGCCTCTTTCCAAGCTGTACCTGCAAGTGCTTCAGACAAGGATTTGGCTGAAGGTGCTTTTGTTGCCTCTGCCCTGGGAACAAGGTCTCAGGAAGGTCACGGCCTCGTGCTCATGGCTTCCTTTTCTCTTGCAGACACACACTGTTGTTTTGCTCTGTTTCCCGTACCCCAGTTGGCCGTCGGACTTATGCCAGCGATGTAAACCCGGTGAGTGGAGGGGCCCTTCCCTCTGTGCCCCCAGGGGCTTCCCTCCCTTGCCACCCTCACTGGTTCAGGACATACTGAACCACTTTCTCACCCAACTGTCCCCCAAGGATCCCCACCAGCCATGTGAACACACACTCCTGTAGCTGTGGGAGCAGCAAGTGGGGGGTTAAGAGTTCAGTTCTGGAACCTCCGTTTCAGTTCCAGCTCTGTCACGAAGGACGCTACATGTCTATTTCCTCACTGATACTGTGGTCTCATGATCATAACCACTGTGTGGGCCAGGCGGAGATTTAGATACGAAAGCTTCATGCACAGTAAGCCCAGCCTTGCACACATAAGTACGGAACCTAATAAGCTTGGCACAGATGACGACAGCGGTGATGATCGTAATGGAAATTGCAGATTGGGAAACAGTCCTGAAAGCCAAAATCATTACCTGGGGTAGCACCGTTAGTTGGTGGCAGAGTGTGGGCCGGAGTCCGGTGTCCCAAGCTGGATTCTGAGTCTCAATCTTCTTCAGTACACCTTGGTGCTTTGTGCCAAGTTGGAGGACCGAGCCTGGGCCACACACCAAGCACTATGAGTTCCTACGCAGAGGGCCAGGAGGCTTGGGCATTCGGCCTCGGGACCCTGGGTTCCTAACATGGCGTCTGCTCTTCTAAAACAGGCCGGCAGCAAAGCTGTCCTGATCACGGGCTGCGACTCTGGGTTCGGGTTCTCCTTGGCCAAGCACCTGCATTCAAAAGGCTTCCTTGTGTTTGCTGGCTGCCTGATGAAGGTGAGAGAAGAGTCTTTCCTTCACTAGTGTCCTTTATAGGCAGTCACAATTTTGTGGTTTTAAAAAAAATTGTTTTCCTAACAACTGGATCATCTGTTGCTTAAAGTAGCCTGTTTGCTGGCTCCAGCCTCGCTGGTTCTTCATAGCTTTTTCTATCCATCTGTATCCATCCATCCATGCACACATCTGTCTGTCCATCCATCTTTTGTTCATTTACTCATTTTCCAGTGCTAATGTCATGCCTGAGGCTTTGCTAGGTGGTGTAGAAGATAAGACCTAGTCCCTGCCCCACGAAGCCACCTGTGCAATGGTGAAGGGATACCGTACACAGACACAGCAAAGAATTAGGGTGAAAAGCATTCTCAGGGATGCACAAGAATGTTCAGTGGGAACACAGGGAAGTAGGAGATTGACCCTGAGCTGGGCGTGGTAGCACTCGCCTGTCATCTCAACAGTCAGGGAGGCTGAGGCAGGATGATCACAATTTCTAGAGACAACTTGGTAACTCAAAAAGATCCTGTCTTAAAAATAAAAGAGGGGCCAGGGATGTAGTTCATTGTGAAGTAGAAGAAGTCTAAAGGCCCAGGAACGAGGCTAGGGTGTTTGCAAGCAGAGCACAGGGCTGCACAGGGAACTGGCTGCCCTTCTGCCTGGGCAGGACAAGCTGTCCGGCCTGTGTGGACAGATGGAGCTGGCTGGAGCTGTCTTAAGTTCACTCTCCCAGTGAGACTGCCCGCTGCTACAAGGGGCCATGCCTGGGGTGTGGGCTGAGGAGAGACGCCTGGTGGCAGGAAGCAGGCTGTCTGCCCCAGGTTGGTGGTCATGGGTCCCCAGTAGCAGTGTCCTCAGAGTCCATAGGGTCACCCTAGGAGGTAGGGCTGGCTCTCGGGCTTCTGCCAGCTCAGGGCAACAATAGCAGCTGGACCACCTCAGAAGACTACACTCGTGCCCCAGCATCTGCCAGCCCCTGGAGATGGCCTGAGGAAAGACAGAGGGGAACAGGAGACGGGGAGAGGCTAAAACCCAGGGGGAAGGGGCATCCATGCCACCACCTGCCTCCTACACTCCATCAGGACACAGGTTGGGAGTTCAGGCTTCTACACCAGACTGGGCTGCAGTCACTCAGTGAGTGGATGGAGCTGGACTCTGCTGAATCAGAAGGCTCTGTCTATGTCTGAGAATGAATGGAGAAGCTCCAAGAGTGGCCTGAACTTCATCCAGAAGTGGGGAAAAATATAGCTGATGGGTGAGGTTGAAAGGGTCAGCGAGAGAAAGAAGTGGGTTGACCAATAAACCAGGTAGCCCAGCACCAACACGCAAGGCTGGAGCCTGTACCCAAGGGGCAGACCCTGGGACAGAGTGCCAGGGAGGTGGTGTGGCCTGGGAGTGAGGCCTGTGGCCACTGTAGCCTGCAGTCAGCAGTGGGAGGTGGGGGAGGAGGGCAGGCTGGGGCCAACTGAGAGTCCCCATCCCTGTCAGGAGCGTGGTGTGCAGCTTCTCAGGGCTGATGAAGGCGTGGGGGCTCTGGGGCTGCAAGCTGAGCATGAGATGAACCCCATTTCCTCAGAGAGAAGGCTCTTTCCCCGTGAGCTGCTGAACTGAGTTCATGTTTGGGGATGCTGATTTGCAGTGGGGGCCTCACCTGGGAACAGCAGGACCATTGTCACAATCCTGTCGCAAGAGAGGTCTGGTGCAAGGACCATGCGGAGCCAGATGATGGCAACAGGGTCAAAAGGATTCCAAGAAGAGGAAGGGCACCTGGCCCTCACATGCATCGAAGCTAGAATCTGTGACAGGCGCCGGCAACACTTTGAGGTCAACCCATGTGGGCTCCACTCGGAGGGGCCGCCAGGGGGAAGGTGGCATCAGATATGTGCTTTCACGTGTCTGTGTCATTTATAGGACAGAGACAGCTGGGGGCGCCCAGACCTAAAGATGCCATTCTGGGGAGTTCTTTGCTGGAGGCCTCTGAGCGATGGCACAAGCTTCGGGCTGGGCTGCCCTGAGGTTCCCACACTGTTGGGAAAGCTTGGCACATCGGGGGTACTTGGGAGCCAAGCCTTAGGCTCACCGAGCCCATCCTGTCTGTGTGGGCAGAGAGACCAGGTGGAATCAGCCTCCCCGGCACCGGCCTGGGCAGAGCCCCTGCGGCCCCCACCTAGTTTCCTCAGGGGAACTGGCAAAGCTCCCTCGAGCTGGAAATCCACATGGGATGACAGTTTAGGGTCCTGAGGGATATTAGAGGGAGAGCCAGCCTTCCCCTCCGGTGTCCTGATTGTCTACACCAACTCCCTCACTTCCACCCCGAAGAGTTTCCCTCTGTACCCACTCATGGCCTAAACTCCTCCTGCACAGCCCACGTCACCTGCAGACCGAGAAACCCATTCCTTGTTTGGAGCTGAACTTCAGTCCCTGGCCCCAGTTCAGTTCTCCGGAAATGCATCGAACAGGTCAGATCCTTGGTCATGTCCCCCCCGAGTCTTCGAGGATTGGCTCCAACACCTTTGACATTTTCTCCTGAAGTTTTGCTGCTGAGGTCAGAAGATGTGCTTTCCCCAGTCCCGGGGTACCAGCCCCTGCAAGGGTCAGCATCACCTCTAGAGAACTTTCTATCCCTGACTCACACTGGTGGCCCTGGCCTCCTGCCCTTGCCCAGTGGGCGAAAGCCTACCAAGTGTTTAGCGAGGTGCCCAGCAGTCAGCACACAGCTAATGGTGCCCACTTTTATGGAGACCCCCAGCAGCTGACCAGTGCCCCCAAGCAGACCCTTGTGCCCTGTACAGCCTCACGGCCACCATGTCCTCCTGTTTCTATGCTGCCCTAGGGAGCAGGCGTAGGGGGCATCTTCTTATCTCTTTCCAACCTGCTTCATCCCCTTGCCAGCGTCCGCAGCTGATGCTGCCTTTGGAAAGTCTTCTCTGCCTGCCTCTGTCCTGTGCTCCCACAGGCTCCCTACAGCCCACACCCACCACACCTGCTCTCTGTCTCCTTCCTGGGGAACACAACTCTTGAGAGCAGGGGCTGAAGTATTTATTTTTGTGCCTCCATGGTGCCACAGTGTGAAAGACGCCCAAGAAATGTTTGCCAAAGGAGAGAGGGTTTTCTTGTCTTTAATAATACCTGAATTGGTATAGCGCTTTATTAGTTTAACAGTTCTCTTAATGATCCATTTCCTTACTCCATTGATCTGCACAGATCAGGGCAGCACTTTTACTGCCAAGAGAGCCTAGCACCTGTTAGGGGACACACCTGAGGCTAGGGAGGGACTGGAATGGGGGCGGGGCTGGTGCTGGCCTCTGATACCTTGGGCAAGAGGTGGCAGATTGAGCCTTCTGGGCACAGGTGGCCCCGTGTACAGCTTTGGTTCACACAGTGTTTTCAAGCTTTTAGAGTGCCAGTAAGCTGCCAACTCTCAAAAAACTAAGAGAAATCACACTCATTAGTTTAATTATCTAAGCATCTGGCAACCTGGTCTTTCATACCCATAGGCTAACTTGCTCTTCGGGTCTCCCCAGCTTCCCTGCTGTCTGAGGCCCACCTGAGTTTGCCATCCCCGCTAGGAAATAGAACCCTGCCGGTGAGCAGTGTGGCAGTGTCCGTCCCCCTGTGGTGTGACGGTGGCAGGTGGCGTGGTCGTGTACGTCTCCTGTGCTGTGGGGCTGGCTTGAACCACCCCCTGGCGAGGCCTCCAGAAACTTCTGTGGCTGTTGCTGCTAATCCCAAGGCTTTGGCAGACACTGGGGGCCGTCTAGACTCTGCCAGGGTGGGGAGGAAGGAGGCAGAGTGAGACCTTCTCTCTTCCCCAGGACAAAGGGGACGCTGGGGTCAGAGAGCTGGACAGCTTGAACAGCGACCGACTGAGAACCGTCCAGCTCAATGTGTGCAGCCACGAGCAGGTGGAGAGGGCGGTGGAGACGGTGCGCTCCAGCCTGAAGGACCCCGAGAAAGGTGCGGGCACCGTGGGGCAGCAGGGGAGGGTGGGGACCTTTCCTAATACCCTTTCTTTATTGTTTAAATCCTTCCTGCTACATGGTAGAAGGATTACATGGATTAAATGAAACAAAGCTGTGCAGTAGGGCAGAGTGAAACAGCCGTGAGGTGACTGCAGAGAGCCGCACACCGGTTCCTGCTGGTTCAGCACTGTGCACCCACTGGCCCGGCAACACTGGGCTGAGCAGGTGTCCAAGTCACAGAGTGTCCCTGAGAGCCTTAAGGTTCAGTGAGGGACCCACATCAGCCTCAGGGGAGAGGCAGAGAGCGCAGGAGGGATGACCTGGTCTTGGGGTACGGGGGGAAAGTTGTGCCAGGAGCCCGCAAAGCAGGAACGCCGGAGGGCAGTGGCCCCAGGTGTGCCACGGGGCGGAGTCTTCTGGGGGTGGTGGCACAAGTGAGGTCAGGGAGGGAGGCTACTGGGCCAAAGGGTGCCAGGTAAAGGGAGTGTGGCTGCTCTGCTTCCCTGGGGAGCCACGGAAGGGACGTCCCTGGGGAATGACCTGGTCTGTCCCACCAAGCTCGCTGCGGGGAGGGCACAGGCTTGATCATCCCGGACTAGGGTAGAGAGCCCTGGCAAAGAAGAGAGGCTCAGGAGCCCTGAGAAGGCACGACTGGTGGGACTTGAGGACTCCTGTGGGGATGCTGCTGTGGCCCTGAGACACCCGGGGGTGAGGGTGAGGGTGGGGGTGGGGGTGGGGGTCCAGAGAGACTTCTGGGGACCGGGAACCAGCAGGGTCCTACGCTGTGGTGCTAGCACCCAGCGTCTCCCAGTTCAGCCACACTGAGAACCTTGGTGGGAGGGCTCTGCTGCCAACTCCGGGGGTGCTGTCTGTGTAGTGATGGGTGGTGCTCCACTCAGGGACGCTGTGCCATTGACCCCCTGACCCAGACAGTTCAAGGAGAAAAGGAGCCTTGCCTGGAGTGGTGGTACACATCTATAATTCCAGCATTTAGGAGGCCGAGGCAGGAGGATCTTGGTGAGTTTGAGGCCATCCTGAGCTACATAATGAGTTCAAGCCCAGCCAAGACTACAGAGTAAAACCCTGTCTCAGAAAGAGAAAGGAAAAAAAAGAGAGCAAGAAGGGGGCCTCCTGGAGCTCTGCCTCCTGCACAGTAGGTGGGAAAGGGGGAGGGGACCGGTGCCAGTGCTGTGCACTGCCCAGGAAGTGGGGGTCGGGGAAATCCTGTCCCCTCCAGGAAGCACTTGTGTTGTGCGGGCAGCCTGACACTGCTGTCACCTGGCAGCCCAGTGCCACCCCCACCCTGCAACAGACCCTTCCAGCCCCTGTTCTCAGAGCAGAGGCTCGTGAGTTGTCCAACCCGCTGGCCATCTGTTTAATAATTAACAGGCAGAGCCTGCACTCCTGTTCCATTAAGAAGAGGCAGGGTGGTCCCACCAAGCTGGTCATCAGCGGAGGCACAGCCCGTGGTAAATTCTCCTCTGTCCTCCCTTGCAGCTGGGATGTTGCCTTCATAAAGAGTCAGGCAGGAAAATACCTACCGCGGTGCCATAAAGCCGGTGCATTATAGCCTGTGCGTGGCGGCGATTTGAATTAAGTCACCAGCCACCTCAGCACAGGAAGGGGCTTTCCCAGGGCCGGGCCCTTGTTCCCTACCACTGGGGCAGAATCACCTCCATGGCCAGTTTGCCCAGCTGGGCTAATCAGGGTCCCCTCTGCCCTGGCCACTCGTGGGAAGGGGTCCCCCTGCCCAGCGCCAATCCTGACCCACAAACCTTTCCGGGCACGTTTGCTGAACCACTCACTGTGACTGTCCTTAACCACTCTTCCCGTTTGGGAAAAGATCTGAAGACTTAAGTTCGAAAAAGAAAATAAATGTGTCAGACCATTGCCTGATTCCTCCTCTTCCTCCCTGTCTTTCTCCTCCGTCTCCCCTCTCCTCTTCCGTCCCCTCCTCCACACTAGCTCTGGGCTGTCTTTTTCCAGGGTAGCTCAGCCCCTGGTCTCAGGCATATGGCTTTGAACTCTAAAGAGCATCTTCCCAGTGCCTTCCCAGCAGCTGTGGTCTTCTCTGGTTCACACCCACAACGCAGGGGCCGTTCAGGAGAGGTGTCCTGACGGGCGAGGTGAGGGGGACTGTCTGGTCACAGACCAGCCACCTGCTCAGCCTCTTTCCCCTCCAGCAAGGCTATGAGGGACAGAACACCCGGCACCTATGCCCAGCCTCCCCACCCCCACGCTGGCCGGTGAGTGGACTACTCCTGGCGTCTTTGCTTACCGTTCAGTAAGCACCTGCTGTGTACTTGGTAGTGAGCTGAGGACCGAGGAGTTTGACCTGGCAGGAAGAACGTGTGGTTGGACACCAGCCAGGTGGCTTCAGGACAAAACCTCTGAGTTACAGTCCTGGGACATTATGCTGCAGACCGGGAAGACCCAACATCCGGTGCAGCCTCTGCCTGAGACTGAGACAACCGGATTGAGAGAAGTGTGGCTCTGGTGTGAGCTGTCTGTCTGTGACACAGGTCATGCCCAGGTCTGGCTGTCCAGGGGCTCGGGAGGATTTCCACCAGAGCCACTCTCAGGCTGACGGCAGGAGCTGAGCAGGGCACAAGGGGCTCAAAGTCAGAGTTGGAGAGGAGAGGGCACAGCCAGTGGGCAGAGGCCTGGAGAAGGCCAGGTGGGCCACAGTGCATGATGGGAAACTCAGGAGCAGGGACAGACTGCTAAGGAGGATGGAGAACAAAGCCTGGGTCAGGAGACCCCAGGAGTGCTGCAGACCCGGGACTAATCCAAATGGTCAGAGAGGGAAGAAGGGATTTTAGCTGGAGGCTCAGCAGGGGAAACAAGCAACAGCCTGGGGCGGTGTCCTCAGACAGATCCCACCTCTCCTGTCTGCTAGTGGGTGTGGCATTGAGCAGGGCACTCTGAGCCACAGTTGTCTCCTCCACCTGTGGGGCCATTCAGCATCTCCTTATGGTTGGTTATGAGGATCGGGTGAGTTAATGAGTGAGTCAGGTGAGATCAGCATTAGTTCCAGCCTGGCAGCTGTCTTTTGGGCCTCTTGTTTACAGTCCCGGTGACTCATCAGGGTCTGGGGAAGAGTCAGAGTTGAAAGTGAAGCCACCAACAGAGGAGGTGGGTTTGAGTAGCCTCGGGACTTGACGCTGTGGGACATTCAGAGGGAAGTGGCCATCAGGGTGGAGGAAGAGGAGACTGGGGAGCCTGACATGGAAGGGATGGTTCCTGGAAAGCAGCTGTCAGGAACACTTTATTCAGGACATTGGCTGAGGGTTGCTCCTGGGTGCCCGCTTACTACTTGTCAAGCCAGCGATCCAGGAGCAGCAGCACTGGAGTTTCATTAAGCCTTTTTTGGATAGCAGTGTCAGATGTAATTGTTCGATTTCTAGGTGGAAAAGGACTACAGACATGCTTTCTAGGTGCTGTTGTCCCATATGGATCAAGCACTAAACCACTGGAAAATCCCACAGACGTAGATAGAGAAGCAGGCTAAGGACAGGACACGGGGCAAGGGACACCTGTCTCAGGGAAGTGGGATCAGGTAGAAGAAAGGTGGCCGGGAGGGTGCCGGGGAAGCAGGAGAATGAGACTTGGGTGTCACTGATACCAAGGGAACAGTGAGTGTCCAGGGGCATAGTGGCACTTGCGTCCTAGACAGCGGAGGAGTGGAGACTGGAGAGGTCCTTCCGGCCCAGTACTGGATCCGAGAGCAGTTGACAGGACAGAGACGACAGTGTGTGTGCCCAGAAGGAGCCTGCTGTGGACAAAGGAGGGCGAGCTGCATGGGCAGAGGGCTGTGCAGCTCTGGAGGCAGAGGCGTCCGCAGATATTCATTCCCTAACCCCCTCTTTTGGTTTTGATTTTCTGCAGTACTGGAAATTGAACCCAGGGCCATCCTTCCCCAGCCCATTTTTTCTCTTTTCTTTTGATCCCGGATCTCAGTCATTAAAACACCTAGGCTGAGCTCGAACTCGTGATCCTCCTGCCTCATCCTCCCAGGGTGCTGGGATGACAGGCATCCACCATCTTGCCCAATGACCTGCATTTACTGAGCACCTAATGTGTGCACTGATGAAGGGAGGGAACAAGGAGCAAGGGAAAGGTGAAGTCACATAAAAGGAGAAGGGGACCAGCCCAAGGATTCCTGCTCCTCCTGAGAAGTCTGCGGGGAGAAAGTGGGATCTGGGGGGCTGTCATTGGTGAGCACCTCGATAGTGTCACTAGGTTTGCCTGGAGTTCATGAGGTCCCTACAGGCAGCAGCGAGGGGGCTCTGCACACTTTGTTAACCAGCAATTTCCTTTCCTTGATAAATGTCCTTAATTCTCTGTAATTGAAGGAGAAGGCACCAAGAGGTCAGTCGATGGAGCTTTAATTTGGTCAAGATGGAAGGAGAGAGATGGGGAGCAATTACTCTGATGAAAACAACTCATTTCCACGAGGGGTTCAGAAAATGGCTGGGTTCCCGCAGGCAGGGGGTGCCAGGGAGGGAGGGGAGCCCCCCGCTGTGATGCTGCCTGGGAAGGGGGTCAGGACTGAACCTCAGGTGGCTAGGCCCGAGGGTTCCTCAACAGAAAGGCAGGCCCTGGCCTGGGGATCCACCCTTCTGGTCTTTGCACCCCGAAACACTGAATTCCAAAGAGGCCCTGAAAACAGGGATGCCTCCCCAGCTGCTTTCCCTGGTTTCAGCTTTACTTCTGACTTCCTGATTAAGCTTCAGTCTGGGCTTTCCCTTTAGGGCCTCAGTTTCTCCACCTGTGACATGAGTCAATAGACTAGATAAACCCCAGGTGCCTTCCAGCACCTGCATTCCCTGTGTCCGTGAGAGCCAGCTATCCTTTAGAGGTGACATTGGGCCTGGACATTCCAGACTTGGGGGTCAGTCCTGCAAACAGGAGTTTAGGCCTCTATCTGCAGTCTTTCTTGGGTGACTCTAGAAAGTTTTCTGAGAGCCTTGGGTAAGACGCTGGAAGTCACAGGGAAAGGAACCGAGGGAGCAAGGCGGGCTGCAGACTGATGGGTAATATCTGAGGCCAGGCACATGTGGCGACACAGTTGTGCCAGCTCCTGAATTGGTCAACTTTCTCATTGCTGGAACAAAATACTGAACACTCGCAATTTAAAGGAAGAGAGGTTTGATTTGGCTCACAGTCTCAGAGGATTCAGGGCACGGTCACCTGGCCCCAAGGCCGGACATCATGGTGGAAGGGCCTGGGGGGCGAAGCTGCCAGGAGACAGAGCACAGGGGAAGAGCACCGCAGAGGAAGGGCCAGGGACTAGATACGTCTCCAAGGTCACACCAAGCCCCACCCAGACACACCCAGAGATCTCCGAGGGGGCCTCTCAAGCCCATCACAGTGACAATAGGATTAACGGTCACATCTCCCGTGCAGGGTTGTGGGGCCTGGTTAACAATGCGGGCATCTCCACCTTCGGGGAGGTGGAGTTCACCAGCATGGACACCTACAAGGAGGTAGCTGAAGTGAACCTCTGGGGCACGGTGCGGACAACAAAATCTTTCCTCCCCCTGCTCCGAAGAGCCAAAGGTAAGTTGGGAAGCTAGCTGCACCCTGCCTGCCCTTGAACCTGCCCAGGATGGAAATCCCCCAGACCCCCCATCCACAGCAGCAAGGCTGAGTTTTATTATGAGTCCTAGAGCCGCTCTGGATGGGTGGGGAGTGGTGGGCAGAGGTGCGTTGCCTTCAGAAAGTAGAGCAGGTGTCCCTATCATTGTATCATAGCAGGGGGTTAAGTAAATGTAGTCTTCCCATTCTTCGGGGGTATTCATGTCATAACTAAAACATGAGACAATTGTGTTCAGTTAAAGAGAAGTATTAATCAAGATTAGAAATTTAGAAGACAAACAAAACGCCCAAACCGTAGCCGGTAGCCAAATGTAAGCCAAATGTAAGCAGAGTACACCTATAGGGTTTAAAAGGAAACCTCATCCTTCACTGACCTCAGACTGAGCTTTCTGAAAGGTGCCACCCCACACTGTCCACACTGTCCATGACCCCAGGATGGGCTGTGTTCCTTCCCGGTGTACTCCAGGGTGAGTAGTCGTGGGTCTGACTGGTTGAATGGGATTCCCCGCCAATCCTGCCCCAGAACTGAGAGAAGCTGTGGTTGCCCCTGACACCCCCAGGCTGAGCATCTTTCAAGGTCACCCCTCTTCAAGTGCCGGAGAGCGTCCCCTGCCCCAGTCTGCCTCTCTGTGTGCCAGGTTGTCTTGGGCTACAACCCACCTCCGTCCCTAGCATCGCTGCTAGTAAGTACTCCTGTCGCGAACCGGCGACGCAGAGCACTGTCCCGCAGTGCCTCAAACCTGAAAGAGCAGCGGGGTGGAGATGGGGCAGAGAGAAAGGAAGGACGCCAAGACAAGAGTCTGATCAAGGCGACGTTTATTGCCGGCAAGCACCGGCCTTTTAAAGGGAAAGGCCGAACTATTATGGGCTAGGATTACCATAGTAACCTCGACACCCGCTCCACGGGAACGAGGGTTCACACGGGCCTCAACACCCGCTCCACGGGAACGAGGGTTCACACGGGCAAGAGAAAGCAGGCTCAAGAAAAACAAATTAACAACACCTGCAACTAATAATCATGATTCCCACAATAGGTGGAGGAACTCAACAAAATGGAGGTACAACACCTGACTCCTATAGATAACATCAGATCTTTGGCTGTCCGAGTTTCTCCCGTGCAGGGTCAAAACAAGTTTAACACGTGCAGTCCTTAAAAAGGAACAAATGTTGTCTTTCAAAAAGCCAGTGGGCCATGGCTGGCTTCCCACATACTCGCATAGACTCAGGGTGGTAATTGCCTTCACATCTCACTAGGGACATTAGTCACCTGCTAAGGTGGCACTGCCCCGCCACGCAAAGTCCTTGACATACAGTTTCAACAGGAGTTCAGGTTGGCTCATGGTTTCAGAGGGTTCAGTCTGTGACTGCCTGGCTCTGCGGCAGAAGCATCACGATGGGAGGGCCAGGCAGAGGGAAGCTGCTCACCTCATGGTGGCCAGGAGGCAGAGAGAAAGGAAAAGAGTCCGAGAAAAGATGAACCCCAGTCACTTGCTTCCTCCACCTAGGCCCCACTCCTAACAGCCCTCAGCTGTGAACTCTTCAGCAGGTTAATCTGTCGAGGCATCTCTTAATCAATCAGGCTGACAATCAAGATTCACTGTTGTACTGGATGAGCTGAATTTTAAGCCCCATGGGCAGGAGGAGGAAGTTCTGTCCTATATTCTCCTTGACCAGCATCAGATTTTGCCTGGGGCGAGCACACAGATCCCCACGGCCATAGCTGTCCTGCCCCCATATTCTCCCATCGTATTTTCACCCCGAGGTGTGATCACCAGGCAGGGCTCTGTCTGCTTTTGATTAGATGTATGCTGTGCCCCTCTGGTAAGCAGGGCCGCTTCTCACTCCTTTGTCCTCGTGGCTGGCACACCCAGGGGAAGGTCAGGGATGCTGACCTATGGGAGGCCCAAGGCTGGCTGTGACTGCAGAATGAGAAGGCCCAGCCTTGGTGATTCTGGAGCGCTGCCGGCCAGGTGTCTGTGTCAGGGCGGTGCCAGCTGAGCGGTGTTTGCTGTCTCCCTCTGTAGGCCGTGTGGTCAACATCAGCAGCATGATGGGCCGCATGGCCAACCCGGCCCGCTCCCCATACTGTATCACCAAGTTCGGGGTGGAGGCCTTCTCCGACTGCCTGCGCTACGAGATGCACCCTCTGGGTGTGAAGGTCAGCGTGGTGGAGCCAGGCAACTACATCGCCGCCACCAGCCTCTACAGCCCCGAGCGGATCCAGGCCATCGCCCAGAAGATGTGGGACGAGCTGCCCGAAGTTGTGCGCAAGGACTATGGCAGGGAGTACTTCGATGAGAAGATCGCCAAGATGGAGACCTACTGCAACAGCGGCTCCACGGACACATCCCCTGTCATCGATGCCATCACGCACGCCCTGACCGCCGCCACCCCCTACACCCGCTACCACCCCATGGACTACTACTGGTGGCTGCGAATGCAGATCATGACCCATTTGCCTGGAGCCATCTCCGACATGATCTACATACACTGAAGACCCCCAGTGGGAGGGTGGAGGTGGGGTGGGGGTCACATACAGTCACCTCTCGATTAACCACTGTTGTCACCACTCTTAGGAAGACTCATTGTAGCATTAACCAGAGGCAGTAACCCAGCCTCTTGTTCATGTGCTGAGTGGCTTGGGTCTGCACAAAACGAGGTCCAGGCGAGGTTCCCTAGACCTTGGGGCGAACATGGTGCATCTACCTAGATTTGGTTTTGTATGAAAATTTTGGGAAACATCTTTATATTAAAAACAGATTTATTATAGAATAGAATCCTTGTTCCTTTACACCTTGAAGCCAAGTCATTAACTCAGAAAATGTTGCTCTTTAAACCAGCCCTATGAGTAAGAAGGACAGATGTTTTTTGATTCTGTGCATGAAGGATTTTTGCAGCTGAGAGGACATGTGAACTACCCCTTTCTTTTTTTTTTTTTTTTTTTTTTTTTTTTTT